TTGTGGCTCAGTGGTTGAGCAGCGACCTATGAACCTGGAGGTCATGGTTCGATTCCCGGGTCAGGAAATTGGGCTGGATTCCCAGGGGTGTGGGGCGTGCAGGAGGCAGCCGATCTGTGATTCTCTCGCCTCATGGATGTTTCTGTCTCTCTCGCTCTCCCCTCCTCTCTGAAATCAGTAATAATATACTTTAAAATAAATTTTTTTCGTGGGTCTCGAGTGTTTGTATAGACGCAGATTTGTGAGCACGCTCAAACAAAGACGAACTTAAAACAAAACATGCTTTGCTTCTGTGTGTTCCAGGGCTAGGCCTGGTGTTCGCTGAGTTGCTAGAGGCACGTACACCCAGGGCCACGTTAGAGGCGGCAGATCCATGATGAGAGAGCTCATGGATGTTTCTCTCCCTCTCCCCTCCTCTCTCCGAAATCAATTTTTCTTTTTTAAATTGTACTTCTAGCCTTCAGTTGACATGTGCCTTATTTAAGCTTTCTCCCTTCTATGAAATTTTTGCTTTTCTTGTGGCTTGTGATTGTGGTGTCTCGTGTTGGGCTAAAGTCCTGATGGACAAGGAATAGAATAGCTTGGTTTTACTTAGCGGTCAGTGCTATCAGCTATTTCAGGAAAATCAGATGATCAGAGTAGATTGATGACTCGGACGTGATCTTCGAGTAACCTCTCGCCCGATGTCGTTTCCTAACGTCGGTGGGATTCCTCGGGGACTGAACTCTTATCTATCATGTATGAGCCAGGATAGCAGGGGGTTTGCTATACATCATTTTGCTGAAAGTTGCAGGACCTGTCTGGGATGTTAAGTGAGGACTTAGTATACCTGTAAGTTTATTTATTTTTTTAAAATATTTTTATTGATTTCAGAGAGGAAGGGAGAAGGAGAGAGAGAGAGAGAAAGAGAGAGAGAAACATCAGTGATGAGAGAGAATCATCCATTGGCTTCCTCCTGCATGCGGCTCCCTTCCTCCCCCACTCCCCCCGCCCACTCCACTGGGCACTGAGCCCACAACCCAGGCATGTGCCCCGGACCGGAATTGAACCCGGAACCCTTCAGTCCGCAGGCCAGTGCTCTATCCACTGAGCCACATCGGCCAGGGCTATCCCTTTTAGTTTACACACACACATACTTGCTTTCATATTTTACCTTACATGTGAATGTGTATCTAAGAACAATATTTTTTTAAATGTCAGCAAGAGTAAGCTTGTAAGTATCTTTTCAGTATTTTGTAATGAAGATATATTGCTTCATAACAAAAAAAAAAGGTTTAGCCTTAGCTGGTGTGGCTCAGTGGACAGAGCATCAGCCTGCAGACTGAAGGGTCCCGGGTTCGATTCCCAGTCAGGGAACATGCCCGGGTTGCCAGCTTGATCCCCAGTTGGGGGTGTGCAGGAGGCAACCAGTCAATGATTGTCCCTCATCATGGATGCTTCTCTCTCTCCCTCTCCCTTCCTCTCTGAAATCAATTATAAAAAATTTTTTTTTAAGGTTTTAAAAAAGTCGTAAGTGACGTAAAAAGTTTTACGAGATGGCCTTTTCGGAATCACGTGGCTTACAGGTCAGGCTCATAAAAGGCCGTGTGTCAGGCTCCCCAGGGTTCATGAAATCCCCCTGCTTTCATCATCAGAGCCACGTCTTTAGAAGACACACATCGTTTCTCCTTATTTTTGTATGTTGTTAATCCTCAGCCCAGGATATTTTTCCCATTGATTTTTTTATTTTATTTTATTTTATTTTTTAGAGGGAGAGGGAATGGAAGGGAGGACGGGGGAGAGAGAAACATGGATGTGAGAGTGACATTATTGACCGGTTGCCTCCTGTACCCGCCCCGACCGGAGGGCTCAAACCTGTAACGTGCCCTCGACCAGGAATCAAATCGAACCGTGACCTCCTGGTTCGTAGGTCGACGCTCAACCACGGAGCCACGCCAGGCGGCTCTCTTCCCCTCTCCGACTGAGGCCGCTCTAACGAGGAATGGCTTTCCTGCCTCCGGAGGGCACGGGGTTGTGGGGGGGAGGGGGGAGTTGCCGAGTTCCTTTGAGTCATTTCCACTTTAAAAGACGCCCAGGCTGGCATTTGGACCGGCTCAGCGCTGGTTCCGGGCCAAGGCAGGGCGGCTGCCGGCTGCCTGCAGGCTGGGAGCGAAGGAAGGGAAGGAAGTGGGTGGAGAGGGAGGCCTGCAATCCCCGCCGACCCCTCCCTGGAGCGGCCCTCCACTCCCGGCCTTCCATTCCCCACCTTCCCCCTGCCCTCCCCCCCGCCCTGCTGAGACTGTTTCCCACCTGCCCACGAAGCCCGGGTGCCCGACTATGGGCTCCATCCATCGCCAGGTCAGCGGCTTTTCTCAGGAAGCGCAGGTCCCTGAGGGTGTGGACACGGGCGCTGCTGCCGGGGATGGGGCTGCGGTGCCACAGGGCACAGGTCGCCTGCCCGCTCCCTCACCGGCTCCCATGCTTCCTCCAGCTGGAATCTGCTTCCGCGGGTTGCACTCGCTTGACCAGAAAGGTGGGGTCATGGTTTTTTAGCTTTTAATCTATTTTTTTATATTTTATTGATTTTGAAGAGAGGAAGTTGAGAGGGAGAGAGAGAAATATCCATGACGAGAAAGAATCATGGATCGGCTGCCTCCTGCATGCCCCACACTGGGGATCCAGCCAGCAACCCGGGCATGTGCCCCGAACAGGTGTGGCTCAGTGGTTGAGTATCGTCCTAGGAACCAGGAGGTCAGGGTTCGAATCCCGGTCAGGTCACATGCCCGGGTTGCAGGCTCGATCCCCAGTAGGGGGCGTGCAGGAGGCAGCCGATCGGTGATTCACTCTCACCATGGATGTTTCTCTCTCCCTCTCCCTTCCTCTCAAAAATCAATAAAAAGATATTTATAAAAAAAAACAAAACAAAATAAAGATAGGTCTGCCTGCATTCATTCTTCCTATGTGACCACCTTTGCTTATCTATGAGAAAAAAAGCCGGTGATGTCCGGGAAGCGGAAGTGACCCTCCCCCACACACCCCCACCGCCCGGGACGCGTGTTAGTAAAGAGCACAGGTGGGGGTTGAGATACGGGTTTCCGGCTGCCCACAGGCCTCTGCTCCCACGGGCGCTGTTCACCTGCCCAACCACAAACAGTCCCCTGCACACTCTTTTTTTTTTTTTTAACGTATTTTATTGATTTTTCACAGAGAGGAAGGGAGAGGAATAGAGGGTTAGAAAAACCCTCCTTTTTTTTTTTTTTAACGTATTTTATTGATTTTTCACAGAGAGGAAGGGAGAGGAATAGAGGGTTAGAAAAATCGATGAGAGAGACACATCGATCAGCCACTTCCTGCACACCTCCTACTGGGGATGTGCCCGCAACCAAGGTACATGCCCTTGACCGGAATCGAACCCAGGACCCTTCAGTCCGCAGGCGGACGCTCTATCCACTGAGCCGAACCGGTCAGGGCTCCCTGCACACTGTCGGTCCAGCTGCCTCGTGTGGTTGGCAGTTGTTGTTTTACTTGCCCAGGCGTCACTCACAGTTATTTTTCTTGGGGTGTTGAGTTAATGCTGCTTCTTCCTGGGAAAACCTTTTCATCCTTCTCTCTGCCTGCGGAATTACACCGGCCAGTTCTGGCCTGTGAGGAAGTCTCGTTTACACGGTTTATAGTTACGAATCCTTCTAAACTCCTTGGGCTGCTGTAGAGCAGACTTTCCGCAGGCCTCTGGTATTCTGGGGCTCATATATAAGGTGTCCCAGAATTCACTCAAGAAGTAGTTTTGATAGGAGTGAGGAAGTCTCGTTTACACGGTTTATAGTTATGAATCCTTCTAAACTCCTTGGGCTGCTGTGTAGAGCAGGCTTATCCGCAGGCCTCTGGTATGCTGGGGCTCATATATAGGGTGTCCCAGAATTCATGCAAGAAGTAATTTTGTTAGAAAACACAGGTTTATGATTAGAAATTATAAATTTTTTTTTAATATATATTTTATTGATTTTTTTTTTACAGAGAGGAAGGGAGAGAGATAGAGAGTTGGAAACATCGATGAGAGAGAAACATCGATCAGCTGCCTCCTGCACATCTCCCACTGGGGATGTGCCCGCAACCAAGGTACATGCCCTTGACCGGAATCGAACCTGGGACCCTTCAGTCCGCAGGCCGATGCTCTATCCACTGAGCCAAACCGGTTTCGGCAGAAATTATAAATTTTTTATTGATTCATAAAGTATACAGTATAGGGTTATGGATGGAATAGCACATCGGGTCAATGGCCTCCAGGCTTTGCTGGCACAGACGCAAAGCCCTGGTCTTCATTGGTCTTCACGGTCCCTGCTCCTGGGCCATCATTGGTACCTGGTCATGCTTATCAAATTGAAGGGATTGAAATCAAAGGGCAACAGATATGAGAATCTGATTCAATAAACCAAGTAAAATTAGGCTTTTGTTTTGTTGTTGTTGTTGTTAATGCTCATGCAAAATTCAAAGCTTGAGTGAATTTTGGGACACCCTTTAGAAAGATTTCTGATTTTTTTTTTTTTAAGTAGGCAGGTGGAACGGCCTGGTGGGCTCAGTGGTTAGAGTGTCGGTCTGTGTTCGGGTTCAACTCCCAGTCAAGGGCATGTATCAGGGTTGCAGCTTTCATCCCTGGCCCCGATCGGGGCTCGTGTGGGAGGCAACCAATTGATGTGTTTCTCTGACATCAATATCTCTCTCTCTCTGTCTCTGTCTCTCCACCTCCTTCCCTTCCACTCTCTCTCAAAATCACTGGGAAAAAAAGAAAGTATGCGTGCCACAGAGAAGCAGGGGGGCGCTCGGTCCCCTCGCACTAAAAACGCCGCCTTGGTTTATTTTTTTTTAATTTTTCTTTCCCCCCCTCCCACCCTTTCCAGATGCAGCAGCTGTTCTACGAGAACTACGAGCAGAACAAGAAGGGCTACATCCGGGACCTGCACAACAGCAAGATCCACCGGGCCATCACGCTGCACCCCAACAAGAGCCCGCCCTACCAGTACCGGCTGCACAGCTACGTGCTGAGCGGCCAGATCGCCGCGCTGGCACTACACCGGGCGACAGGAGAGGCTCTGTGTGTGTGCCAATGTCATCGCTGTCACCACCTCTCAGTTTGTTGGTATTTTCAGATTGTGAGCATTTAGTGGTGTGGGTCTCTGTGTCCTTTGCATGGGGAAAAGTGAAGAGAGGAGGAGCTTGGAGAATCAATTTGGGACAGGTTTTTGGGTGCAGAGGTATAATTCGGGCAGCTTTTTGGACTCAGATGCAGCCCTTCTTCCATTTGTAATCTCGAATTGCACACAGGCGCAGCGGGAGGCCCTGGACGACATCGTCATGCAGGTCATGGAGATGATCAACGCCAACGCCAAGGCGCGGGGCCGGGTCATCGACTTCAAGGAGATCCAGTACGGCTACCGCCGCGTCAACCCCATGTACGGGGCCGAGTACATCCTGGACCTGCTGCTGCTGTACAAGCGGCACAAGGGCAAGAAGGTGACGGTGCCCGTGCGCCGGCACGCCTACCTGCAGCAGACCTTCAGCAAGATCCAGTTCGCCGAGCACGAGGAGCTGGACGCCCGGGAGCTGGCCGAGCAGATCAACCAGGAGTCGGGCTCGCTGTCCTTCCTGTCCAACTCGCTCAAGAGGCTGGTGCCGTTCGGGCTGCCCGGCGCCGGGAATGAGCGCAAGGAGCCCAAGGAGACGAAGATCAACGTCCTGATCCCGCTGTCGGGCCGCTTCGACATGTTCGCCCGGTTCATGGGCCACTTCGAGAAGACGTGCCTGGCGCCCAACCAGAACGTCAAGCTGGTGGTGCTGCTCTTCAACTCGGACTCGAACCCGGACAAGGCCAAGCAGGTGGAGCTGATGCGGGACTACCGGCTCAAGTACCCCAAGGCCGACATGCAGGTCCTGCCCGTGGCCGGGGAGTTCTCGCGGGCCCTGGCCCTGGAGGTGGGGTCGGCGCAGTTCCGCAACGAGTCGCTGCTCTTCTTCTGCGACGTGGACCTGGTGTTCACGGCCGAGTTCCTGCAGCGGTGCCGGGCCAACACGGTGCTGGGCCAGCAGATCTACTTCCCCATCATCTTCAGCCAGTACGACCCCCGGATCGTCTACGGCGGCAAGGCCCCCAGCGACAACCACTTCGCCTTCACGCGGAAGACGGGCTTCTGGAGGAACTACGGGTTCGGCATCACCTGCATCTACAAGGGGGACCTGGTCCGCGTGGGCGGCTTCGACGTCTCCATCCAGGGCTGGGGGCTGGAGGACGTGGACCTCTTCAACAAGGTGGTGCAGGCCGGCCTCAAGACGTTCCGCAGCCAGGAGGTCGGCGTGGTCCACGTGCACCACCCGGTCTTCTGCGACCCCAACCTGGACCCCAAGCAGTACAAGATGTGCCTGGGGTCCAAGGCGTCCACCTACGGGTCCACGCAGCAGCTGGCCGAGATGTGGCTGGAGAAGAACGAGCCGGGGTACAGCAGGGCCGGCAACACCAACGGCTCGGCCAGGACAGCCTGACGTCCAGCCCCCGCGCTGGGCCCAGACCTTTTTAATTCTCTAATTTATTTTTCTGGAAATCGTTTGTTTTTATTTTTATTTTTATTTTTTTTGGTACCAACCCCGTTTTGCAAGTTTATTGCACCAGGATCTGTTTTACACGTGACCTTTCTTATACCGAGGACTCCTTGTTTTGACGATTGAGCTTTTTTTTTTTTTCTTCTGGGAACAAAAAGGTGACGTTTCTGCCTTCGGACACATGTTTCTCCTCGCCGGACACCCTGTAGCAGAACCCCGCTGTTCTCCGTGACTTGAAATGTACCTGATGAATGAATGAGACTATTTTTTTGTCGTCATTCCGTTTCTTCCCCAGGCCCCTGCGCTACCAAGTATTATGGTAACGAAACACTGTAACTCCGCTCACTGTTCCGTTGTAACTGGTCCCCATCGCACAGTCTCTACCTGTTGTCTCTGCCGCACGGCCGGCGATGTTTTGAAAGCCACGTTGGGTTCCGATGGTAGAAGAAGGGAATGGATCATCGTCTGTATCGTCACCCCCGGAAGAGCCATCTCACGTGCCCTCCTACTCCCTGCGGTCACGTGGGGGTGGGGGCTTTTAGGCAAAAGGGGGCGAGGGAGACACCCTAAGAGAATAGGGCTGTTCTTGCCCTGCGTGTGGGCTCAGTGGATCTGGCGTTAAAATCCAAGAAGGATCTGGTATTTCCTCTCTCCTCAAAGGATAAAATATCAATTATTATTTTCTTTTAATCCTTACCTGAGGATGTTTTCCCATTGATTTTTATTTTATTTTTTTAGGAAGAGTGGAAGAGAGAGAGAGAGACAGAGAGAAACGTCGATGTGAGAGACACACATCAATCAGTTGCCTCCTGCACCCGCCCCGACCAGGGCCTGGGCCCCGGGAGGAGCCTGCAACCCAGACACCTACCGGTGGCCGGAATCGAACCTGGGACCCTTCGGTCCGCAGGCCGACGCTCAATCCACTGAGCCACACCAGCCAGGGCTAAAACATTCATCTTTAGGATGGCAAAGAAGGACGATGGTGAATCGGCTGTACCCTGATGCAAGTGTGTGGGGGAGTGAAATTGTATTTGCTTTTGTTCCTTCATCTCCTGTCTGTGTTATGTCGGTGGAGACGGCTGTTTCATTCTTTCCAATTCCCCTTTTTCCCCCCTTTTGTCTCCAGAACACCTTTAATTTATTTGATGCTCGTTGTTAAGCGCGCTGCCGATTCTCCGGGACCTGCTAGGCGATCTAGTATTTATGTGTATCAGGGCGTGTCCAGTGGGTTTTATTTGCAGTAAACCGAACTCCAAAGATTTCATCCCGAAAATGCGCCCCCACCCCCCACATTCCGTACCATTTTGGGTTTTTTTTTACTAAACTATCAAGTGTTCTTTGACAATTTTGGTGCTCACGCGTTTTTTAGGAACAAAAGCGAAATGAACCTGTCACCAGGCCAGGACGTTCCGTTTCCCCTGGCGGCCCGCACGTGCCTTAACCACACGGTGTTCCTCACGTCGATGCCCAGCAACAGACTTGCCACGTCAGTCAGTACTCGTCCCTGGAGGTCTGCCGATCTGTACATAGCCAGTCGCTCCTTCGGCGCAATAAACCCGTCGACAGTATTTTTCTATCGGACTCTGCAGAGCCGTCGTGTCTCATTGACTCCTCTGTTCCGGCCCGAGGGTTGTATGACATCCGGGGAGTAAAAAGCTTAAGCCACGAGTTCATGGCGTTTCTCGGTTGATTTGAGGGCGATGTTGAAGCGGACTGCAGGGTGGGAGTGAAATGACACGAACCTTTTTTAAAAATATATATATTGTTATTGCCCCGGCTGGTTTGGCTCAGTGGATAGAGCATCGGCCTGCGGACTGAAGGGTCCCGGGTTCGAGTCCAGCCAAGGGCACATGCCCAGGTAGCAGGCTTGATCCCCAGTGGGGGGTGTGCAGGAGGCAGCTGATCCCATGATTCTCTCTCATCATTGATGTTTCTATCTCTCTCTCCCTTCTTCAGTGAAATCAATTAAAAAATAGATATGAGCCCTAGCTGGTTTGGCTCAGTGGATAGAGCGTCAGCCTGCGGACTGAAAGGTCCCAGGTTCGATTCCGGTCAAGGGCATGTACCTTGGTTGCGGGCACATCCCCAGTGGGGAGTGTGCAGGAGGCAGCTGATCAATGTTTCTCTCCCATCGATGTTTCTAACTCTCTATCCCTCTCCCTTCCTCTCTGTAAAAAATCAATAGAATATATTTTTAAAAAATAGATATGAAGAAAATATATTGGAACCGTGACCTCCTGGTTCATAGGTCGATGCTCAGCCACTGAGCCACACTGGCTAGACTCTCCTGTGCTTGCTTGTCAGTCCTCCCAGCCCTCGGCTGGGGCCCGCCCTGGGGATTAGGCGGCGTGGCTGCGAGTGAGTTGCTGTAATCTGGCTGCAAAGGCGCTTAGGGGCGGCAGGGGCTGGGGGCCGGCGAGGGACCTGCCTGCTGCCGTGGCCCCACAGGGCTGCACCTGCCTCCTGGGGCCCCCTGCCCTCTCCACCTCCCCAGACGATGTCCCTGCTCTCCCACTCGGGGGAAAAGGCCCCAAGACCCCCTCAGCTCAGTCTGACTGGTAATAGACACAAATGAAAATGCAGTTGACAGCACGATGGTTCAGATGACAGCGACCCCTTCGGTCTGACTTCCAGTAAAAGACAAAGCGGCTGCCCTGGCCGGTGTGGCTCAATGGATAGAGCGTCGGCCTGCGGCCTACAGGGTCCCGAGTTTGATTCCCAGTCGAGGACACGTACCTGAGTTGCAGGCTCGATTCCCTGCTGGCCCTGGCTGGGACACGTGCAGGAGGCAAGCAGTCGATGTGTTTCTCTCACATCGATGTCTCTCTCTGTCTCTCCCCCTCGCTTCCACTCTCTCTAAAAATCAATGGGAAATATCCTCGGTGAGGATGAACAACAAATAACTACGAAGGGGAGTCTGCGCCCAGTATCTTGGTTGCGTCATCGGGCGAACACGCAGCCCCAGGAGCCCAGCTCCGCTGCTGCAAACGCTGAGTCATGACAGTGAGAAGACGGGCAGGCGGGTGTCTCGGTGACTCAGGGCCTGCGGAGCGGCCAGTTCCAGACACACGGCCTCCACTCCCAGGCCGCAGACACTGGTCTCCGGAGACCGGAGGTCAGGGCCAGGAACGGAAGCGGCCGGCTCCAGATCCGAGCAGCCACCGTGGCTCAGTGACTGAGCGTTGAACTATGAACCAGGAGGTCACAGTTCGATTCCCGGTCAGGGCACAGGCCCAGGTTGCGGGCTTGACCCCCAGTAGGGAGCATGCAGGAGGCAGCCGATTCAGGATTCTCTCTCGTCATTGATATTTCTCTTCCTCTCTGAAATCAATCCATATATATATTTTTATTTTTATTTTTATTTTTAAAGAAGCATTCACTAAAGTGGGCATCCCAGGGACAGGACGGGCAGCAGGAGGGAGACTGATTCTGTACTGTTGGGTGTTGCCCAGTATCCCACTGGGTACACCAAGCGGTGGCTCTGGAGACCGGTGAGCGTTTGGGGTGAGGGGCAGTGGGTAAAAGCACAAAGACCTGTGTTCACAGGTGTCTGGGTTGTCCCTGGGGAGGGAGCAGGGGCCTCTGGGGTGGAGTCAGTGGCAGGCTGGCCTGGCTCGTCCTCGCTCACGACCATTCCTTGTGCACAGCTCTTCCCAACTCCCAAGTTCACCGGCATCCCGCTGGCCGCCTGAAATCAGTGAGGCGGGGGTATTTACACCACAGCAAGCGGCAGCTGCTTCAAATTGGCCTTTTCTCTCTGCTTTAATTTATTTTTTAAATGTGTTTTTATCGATTTCAGAGAGGAAGGGAGAGGGAGAGAGATAACATCAATGAGAGAGAATCATGGGTCGGGTGCCTCCTGCACGCCCCCTACTGGGGATGGAGCCCACAAGCCAGGGATGGAACTGTAACCTGCTGGTTCATAGGTATATGCTCGACCACTGAGCCACACCAGCCAGGCAGGCCCTACCTCTTCACTATTCTGGGGAGAAGCTCATCTCTGGACCTGGCCTGGCTGCTCTTGAGCAGGGGAAGTGGCCGGGTGGCCGGCCTCGGGCCTGTCTCCCTGCCAGGACTGTCCCCTTGAATGATGACCGCTCATCTGCGGCCAGAGGGTCGGAGTGGAGCCTGGCTGTTCCCGGAGCTGGTTTCTCGTCCCTCCCCCGGGGGTGTGGGCCGGGACGGCCGGATGCCTTTGTCCCTGTGGTCGCTGGGAGCTTGGATGCTGTCCCTGGCCAGGCCCCGAGCCACCAGCTGGCTTCCTTCAACGGAAGATGCTATCTGTCTGCCGACAGGCCTGTGGCAAGGACCGCGGGCAGCCTGCCTCCGGGAGGACCAGCTGCAGGGCACTGAGCTGCGCTTCCTTTTCCGCGGAGAGGGGACTCTGGCTGGAGGGCAGCGGGTTTCGGCTCAGGGCTCCCCTGCAGATCGTCACCCTGTCCCCTTCCTGACTTGCTCCTCGCTCTCCCTCCTCTTTTTTTAAATATATTTGTGTTGATGTCAGAGAGGAAGGGAGATGGGGAGAGAGATAGAAACTTCTATAATGAGAAAATCATGGATTGGCTGCCTCCTACATGCCCCCTACTGAGGATGGAGCCTGCAACCCGGGCCTGTGCCCTGACCAGGAATCGAACTCTGACCTCCTGGTTCCTAGGTGGACACTCAACCACTGAGCCACGCCGGCCACGCTGAGCTAATCTTTTAATCACCAGCATTAAAATGCAGCCAACCAGCTCACCCTTGGCTTTGTGTGCAAGCCCCGCCCCCCCGTGGACCCCCCACAACGCATTGTGCCCCCGGGCCGTTCACATGCGTGTAAAAGGCGCTTCAGGAGCCCCCACGCCTCCTGGCTGTCTGGCGTGTGGATGTGCGTGATGACAGTTCTACCAGAGACTCCCGGGCAGTGTGAGGGGGAGCAGCACCCCCAGGCGGGTCAAAGGCGTTTTGATTTAGGAGGCGTTGCCCTCGCCCGTTAAGTGCAAGTTCATGGAGCCCACGGGCAGGGTGGTTTTGTCCAGGCTTGTGGGGTGGTAGGAACTTGATGTTTCTATCTCCCTCTTCCTTCCTCTCTGACATCAATAAAATATATTTCAGAAATGAAAAAAGACACACGTACGGTGGGGCAGCATTTAGTTGGCTCCAGCTGTATACGGTGCCCAGCTAGGACTTTTTGTGCATCGTTATTCTTCAGTCCCCACCGGGGTCTGCATCTGTGTTCCCAGCTGAGCAGCCGAGTCAGGCCCCTCCCCAACCCCGTCCCCACCCCCCCAG